GAAAATTCTCTCCGTCTCTACCGAGGATCGAATTCCGACCTTTTATTCCAATAGACTGTGTTATCTAAATTATACTAAATTTATGTTTATAATTTGTATAGGTTTAGATTCCAAATTACAAATATTAACCGAATGTTGGAAAGTTTACGTCAAAGCATAAGTTTAATTTACTGATAAGCCTTTCAGGATCCATCAAATGAAAATACGGAATGCATTTTCTTCACTTCTCGATGCAAGAGAACACTTTACCAACCTGTAAAGTCTAAATTTTTGTGTAAAATAATTCTGTTTTATCTTTCGGTGGTTCTACTCACTTGAGTAAGAGGCGACATTTGTCCCGTGAACAACCTACCATGCAACCTTCATTGTTCCAGATTCGTTCCACGTCGGAATTAATGTCGAACATTTGGCTCATGTATGAGAAAACAAAAGGAAGAAAAGTATCAGAGGACACGCTGTACCCAGACCATCTTGAATAACAATACAGGATACTGTGCTAAGGCTTCATTTGATTGAACAGGTGCGTCACCGGAGTATTCTTTGTTCCGTGATGAAATTTAATACTTAATTACCATAGAAACATCGGTCTGACTAATGGGCTACACTCGGCCGAGCATCTCATGGCTGTAGAAAATGAAAAATTGCGACATTAAACAAGAATAGGCTGCTGTCAGTATGGAAACGGTGAGCGTCATAATTCAACAGAAATGTTACGCCTACATCCTTAGATTACAAATGCGGACCAACTACTTCTCTTTCGCTCGACTTTCTGTGAAACTTATTTTCTGCCAACATGAACTCGATACCTCCGGTACTGAGTTACACAGAACATTGGCCGCACCATAGCTCAAGCGGTTAGTCGCTGGTTTCCCAACGCGGCTGCCCGAGTTCGATACCGGGTCTGGTCAAGTGGGATTTGTGGTGGACAAAGTGGCGCTGGGGCAGGTTTTCTCCGAGTACTTCGGTTTCCCCTGCCAATCTTCATTCCACCAATTGCTTCACAATCACCCTCACCTATCATCTGGGGCTGGTACAATAGGCCAGAAGTGGGTGCAGTACCAAGTGGACTCAGTCCCAACCCACGAAGTAATAAAAAAGAATACACAGAACATTTACTCTGTTTCTGGTTTTAATCAGAGAGAGGAAATAACTCATTTAAAACTAACGCAGCCATTCAGAAGTCGGTGCAGCTATCTCTTACAGATATATCCTAACTGGAATAATCGAAACCCTAATTTTGTGATGCTATATCATCAGTATTTGTTTCTAGCAATTAGTGATTGATTGGAAGGTTATTTAACGATACTTTTTCGATTACTGAGGCCATAAAGCCTCCAGTTATATTGAAAGATAATCATGAATTCTGATTGGATAAGAATTTTAAACATGACGGTCGAAGCAATTTCAAGGTTCAACTCGGTATTCTCCTGGAAGGACCATATAAAATCACAAATATCTTGATCAGAACATTGCGTATTCGGTAACCTTACCGAGACATGAACTAAGTACCTTCAAAACTCATGTACTCATAACGGCGTAATGAAATACTCAATAAATTTGTAACGTGTACAAGTGAAAGAATGGCTGTTGGGCTGAACGTAGAAGAAAATATATTTAATGAAGTAAAGTGACAATAAAGAAAGTTGTCTTCTGGGTTTAGGCACCGTGTATTCTTCGTTTTGGCCGACGTTTCGGAGGAACGTAGCGCCTCCATCTTCAGAGCAGTTGAATAGCTGCGGTCGGCCAAAACGAAGAATACACGGTGCCTAAACCCAGAAGACAACTTTCTTCATTGTCATCGCCGTGAAAACCTCAAAACTTACATAAAGTGACAATAATTCACAAATCATATTATTGATTATTATTGATGTCAACAAGCCTGAATATTATGATAAAACTATCCCTTAACAGATCCCAAAATTCAACATGGCTAATAAAAGCATATACTGGATCCTGTGACTTTTCTCCAAAGTTCACATCTTCATAATTTGTTTTCCCTAAGAACCAAAACAAAATTAATTCCAGCCACTATTTCTCAATTTAGGCGTTGTGTGGCAGAACAAAGGGGCATATGTAGCTCACGGGCAGTAAGTTGTGAACAACTATCATTCTCTTGGACATCTGAATTCACGCAGGTTACTTTCCAAAATGCAACGTATTAAATCATGAACAAACAGGAAGTTAAGATTCAACTAACTCTGTCGCTAGTTAATATAATACATGGATCCATTGTGGGAAGCTGGAAAAATATTTCTATAATGTTTATTACAATAAAGGGTTCTATGTATGCTGTTTGGTCTATGCCGATGATGTGAATCTACTGGGTGATAATATAAACAGCATGAAGAAAAAAACACAAACTTTAATTGACGCTAGTAAGGAGGTTGGCCAGGAAGTAAACACAGAGAAAACTAAGCATATGTTGTTATTCTCGGCACCAAAATGCAGGGAAATATCAGCACATAAGGATATGTAAGAGATGTTTTGAAAATGTGGCACAGTTCAGATATTTGGGAATGATAACAGATCGAAACCTGATTCAGGAGGAAATTAAGAGGCGACTGAACTTGGATAATGCTTGCTACCATTCAGTCCAGAACCTTTTGTCTTCTCGTCTGTTGTCCAAAAACATAAAAATTAGAATATACAAAACTATAATTTTGCCTGTGGTTCTGTATGGGTGTGAAACTTGGTCTCTGAGATTAAGAGAGGAACACAGACTGAGGGTGTTTGAGAACAGGATGTTGAGGAGAATATCTGGACCGAAAAGAGATGAAGTGACAGGAAGTTGGAGAAAACTGCATAATGAGGAGCTTCATAACTTGTACTCTTCTCCAAGTATAATTACGTGCAATGATCAAGTCAATGAGGATGAGGTGAGCACGGCATGTAGCACGAATGGGGGAGAAGAGGAATGCATATAGGATATCGGTGGGAAAGCCAGAAGGAAAGAGACCACTGGGAAGACCAAGGCGAAGGTGGATGGACAATATTAAAATTGATTTTAGAGATACAGGATGGGATGGTATGGACTGGATTGATCTGACTCAGGACAGGGACCGGTGGAGGGCTTTTGTGAACATGGTAATGAGCCTTCGGGTTCCATAAATGCTGGGAAGTTCTTGAGTAACTGCACAATTGGCGGCTTCTCATGAAGGGCTCAGCTCCATGAGTGAGTGATGAGTGGGATTCAAGGTGCTCAAGGCGGTGACTATGAAGGTCTATAGGCGGTGACTGTATCCTAGCGAGTTTAGTTTGGGGGATAATTACTGTTCTACACTGAAGATGTGAGCAATAGGTTCCTCCGAAACGTTAGGGAGTACCTATACTTCGTAACAAGCGAAGTCAGTAATTTTCGACAAAAGGAAGATAAAACAATAGACGTAACTGTAGGAAAGAGTGTGATAAACTAGGCAAGAGAGATATCGAGGAAACCCAGACACAAGACATGGACTCTTGCAGGCTTTCAAATGAATGCGGCCTACACTTGTTCCTAAGCCGAGCCGAACCGTGCCGAGCAGCTGAGCTGGCTTCCCTTCCTGGAATTCCCCTAAGTGAGTTTAATGGCATTCTGATAACAAATCCCTGGGCGTTTCAGCAACCTGTCACCGCGAGACGTTCACCACATAGGTATAGATAACCGCTGTTCTCTCATGGTGCACCGGATTAATTTCTTCCGTGTTATTTCTTGCAGTTGTGCCAACTGAAGAGAACGGGTGAGGTGCAAAATAACATCTAAGACTTTAAATTCTGTAGATGGAAGGTGCTTCATAACCAGTCATCATGAATCGCATGCAAAGCAGATTCCAGATCTTAATTTGCAAGTATCTTGAACACGATGATGATAGTGATAATTATGATAGTGTAGCAGAGTGGCAGTACTAGTAGTAGTAGTAGTAGTAGTAGTAGTAGTAGTAGGAGCAGTAGCAGTAGCCGTAGCAGTACTACTACTACTACTACTACTTCTACTTCTACTTCTAATAATAATAATAATAATAATAATAATAATAAAAGAAATGCTAGTAGTTGGTTTCTTTGTGGTTGTGATTATAGCGATTATAAGATAGTAATGGTGATTATGGGCATGTACTGTCTTCGCTCGCTTGGAAACCGGGATCGTGGGTTCGAATCCCACTCAGGGCATGGATGTTTAGTTTGTGTGTGTGCGTTTTTCTGTGTTTGTGTACAGGTAGAGGCCTTGCGACGAGCTGATCACCCGCCCAAGGAGTCCTACCGAATGTGTAAGATCTAGAAAAGCCGAAGTGAACGGAGAAGTTCATGGAGGTAGCCCCACTGGGGCTGTAGTCCCAAGGGAAAAAATGGTGATTATGATAAGATGATAGTGATTATGGTAGTTATGATGGAAGTGTGATTATGAAACCTATATTGGTATAATGAAGGGGGCGGGGATAGCGCAGTCTGTATAGCTGGACGGCAGATGTGTCGGATTTCGAATCCCGGTAGGGGCAGGATTTGTCTCCTCTCCACGTCGTCCAGACCTGGGGCCCGGGGGTAAAGCGGCAGGGGCTTGAAGTGGACCACTCACCTCTTACAAGTTCTGAGGTCAAGAACACGTGGATCTATACATCTACTGCCCCATACGTCTTCTTGGCGTAGTTCATAAATAGACGAGCACAGGAACAACTTATATTTATGTAATATGGGTGATGACTGTAATAATGCTGTTTGTGGTGATTATGATGATAAATATTATTATGCTAATGGTGGTGGTGATTATAAAAAGGTGATAGTAATGTCAGTATGAAACGTCAGTAGTGAGTATTATAATAATGTGATGGTAATGACTGTTACTAAGATAGTAATATTTTAATGACTACATCAATGGCGATTATGAAGATGAGGTCACACAGTTAATACATACTTATTGCAGGCTGATGATCCAAAAGTTAGGGAAATTCGCTAATACAAATGTAAGTACAACACTTAAATAGTAATAATTTACAAGCAAATTGATTCCATATTAAAAAAATATTCTTGCCTGTTGCAGGAAATGTGATGGTATCAGTGGTGCTGGTGGTGGTAGTGATGATGCTGTAGTGATGGTACCAGCAGTAGTAGTAGTAGTAGTAGTAGTAGTAGCAGCACTACAAATTTGCGTTAAGTTGAAATACTTCACTTCTCAATATATATAATTTGATCCAAATAAGTTTGTCTGCGTTTACTCACAATAGCTTTTGATAACTTAAGTACAAATGGCAGTTCATAAAGAAGAAAATAGTATCTTGGAACAAAATGAAGCTGGAAGTCGTTTCATAACCTAGCACTTTATACGAGTAATACACTCTTACACAGAAACCCAAGCTTACGTTGAAGAAGAAAAGGTAAATGAATGATATTAGTTAGATTTTCTAACAATAAAATTGATCGTAAATATCACTTCTTTCTGTCAATATTGTAAACTGCACTATTATACCACTTACAACGCACACAAACACGGCATTCTCCTATGTCATTTGGCGCTGACTGGCTACGCAGTGCGGGAAACTCACGTGAAACCTTGAACTTACAAAACACAACTGGAACACTGTTGCTTGTTGCACTGTCATCAGTCGTTGCTACATTTCAGTGGAGTTCATATGCATAAAGGAACTGAGGTTGATTCGTCGCCTGTTCGTTTGTAGGCTTATATCAAACGTGTTCAAGATGATACTGGATAGTATTACAAAGTACTCAAGACAAAAACCCGAACCTCAGCTTACATATTGCATATAACTTTATTATACTTCTGAATTTAATTTGTAAAACTACGGTAGCTGTAGCGTAGTTGGTTGAGGCAGTATGCTACAAGCCGGAAGGTCGCGGGTTCGATTCCCAGTGAGGTAATTGGATTTTCCAATTGACCTAACATTTCCAGTAGCACCATGACCCTGGGGTCGACTCAGCCTCTAACCGAAATGAATACCGGTAGTCTTCCTGGGGTTAAAGGGCCGCCGGATCTAAGGCTGACAACCTCACTGCCATCTGTGAGCAGATTATCTAGCAAATGTGGGAGCCTCGATGGCCTGTTACAGGGACAGTTTTACCTTTATTACATTAAACTTTTTAATAATCGCATATAAATATACTGAGCAAATTTCTGACTTGTTCTCAGGACGTACACTGTTCGAATTTCTCTAAGACACTAATAATCAGGACTAACGTTGTCACTGTTCTTTTAATCCTCCAGCCAATTTTCTGGATAGCTATAATACGACCGTTTCCTTCGACATACCTTCCAATTCATCTTTCACTCATCATCCTAATAATCGAAAATACATTGCCCGAGACACCGGCAGCGTCATTAAATAAACCACAAATAAATGAAAAAATTAATCATTGAAGGATAAATAGAGATGCAATATTCGTATATTTTATGAAAATAATAATCACTCAGCTGAGCAAGTGGGTTGAAAGAACGACTATATTCGTGGAGAATAGCCTCTCTTGAGAAGCTGTTGGTCACTCATCTGGTCAAGGAATTCAAAATTAATAATTGTGACAGAAATTTGGAACAACTAGTTTCTGCAAGGATACGAGTCCTTAAGGAAATGATAGCCGCTCATCTGGTCAAGAAATTCGGAACATATAGTAGGAGTGTTAATCCCTGTACCACGACGGTATGTCTTCCATAGCGCAGGATATGGAGGAACTGACTGGCAGTCATTAAAAGTAACTAGTTTAATAAACGAATAAGCAGGCGATGGATTGCTGCGTCCGATCCATGGCTACCAGGAATAGACCGTGGGATGGTCGATGGATATTCGTAATGCAGAGAGCGTCTCAGTTGAGAAGATAATCTAATTACGGTTCACCTCCTTCCCACCCCACGGCACTCCGTCCCAATACTGGGACCTAATCGAGTTTCCAGAAATCCCTCCCCCTTTCAACCTGCTACAGGGAGAGGCACAATGTAACTGCATGTAATATGTTGACTGCTGGACCTCGCTATATTCTATGTATATTATGTAATGTTTACACCAGAGTAAACCTTCCCCCGACGCTCTGGAAGCAATGGAGGACACCACCCTACACTCAATACGTGTATCATCAAACATAACACCATACAGCGGTCGAGCAAAAGTGACATAAACGATTTAGCTAGATTACACAGGTTCTCACCTAAACAAAATTTCTTTAAAGCACGGTTACTAAGGATATTGATAAAGCTATCCCTGTAACAGGCCGTGAAGCCCCATAGGGTTGTGAGACGTTGAGGCTCCCACATTTCGCTAGAAAACCGGCTCACAGATGGCGGTGAGGTTGTCAGCCTTACACGCCGGCCGTCCTTTAGCCTCAGAAAAATTCCTGGTACTCATTTGTGTTGGAGGCTAAGTCGAACCCAGGCCCATAGTGCGGCTGGAAGTATTAGGTAAATTGAAGAAATCCACCTCATCCGTGCTCGGACCCGTGACCTTCGAGCTTGTAGCGTAGTGCCTCAACCAACTGCGCTACCGTCACTTAATGTTATGACCTTAAGGCCATAACGGTAGAATTTTAGATTTATAGAAGTACGGATTTTGATTAGCAGTAGTTGGAAGAGACCGCAGAAAGAGATGCTGTAACTTACGAATGTAGGTTAGTGTAGTGGTCACAACATTACCTATCAAGGCCAATATTGCTGAGTTGGGTATGCGGACAGACAGTGAAACCAGGAACTACAATGTTATCAAGTATAAAATGTTGACTCGGCGGTGACTGTACGACGGGGACAGTAGACAGGGGGATTATTGATAAAAATTTCAGAGCAGATGACAGGGCAGGCTATGCTCTGTATCCCACCGACAGTTAACATCGCCACAAGACCAACAGCCGAGAACCATGGACCTTCGAGAACTGTTCTCAACCGCCGCCTTCGTTACGATCCAAAATAAGTGGAACCATGAACTGTAGCTATGAAAATACAGTGCCTCTAGAGCTAGGACAAAGTAGTGACCATTTGATAAACATGTAGCTGTATGTATCTAGTGAAAATGACAATTTATTTAGCTACCACCATTTTCGTAATCAATCTCATTCATCTCCGCTTCCGAATGAAATTCCCTGTAGTTACGGCAGGGTGTCGGCAGCTACCGAAAATTTATGAAATAAGGTCCATCCTCTTCACCCCTCCTATTCAAGGACGTAACACTTCCTTCTAACCGAATATATTTATTTTAGAAGGAAATGTAAGAATATTAAGTCGTGTCAATGTGTAGGTCCCTAATAAATTTGAATTAAGCCCAAAATGACTGGATTTTAATTAAACTCCATATAAAAATGTTTAATCCTGCTTTCTCATGTGGTTACTATGAAGATTACGTTCTCTTTGGTTGCTTACCGCCTGCTTGATAACAAAATTTCTTGGTTGACTTTCTTTTCTACTCTGAAGATAGAGGCGATATTTTCCTTCGAAATGTCCGGTTACTTCCGAACTACACGGCGTTACAGCCAAGAAAATTACTTACTTACTTACTCATGGAGCTGAGCCCTTCTTTAGGAGCCGCCAATTCTGCAGCTACTCAAGAATTTCCCAGCATTTTATGGAACCCGAAGGTTCATTACCGTGTTCACAAGAGCCCTCCACTGGTCCCTATCCTGAGCCAAATCTATCCGATCCATACCATCCCAACCTATCTCTCTAAGATCCATTCTACTATTGTCCACCCACCTACGCCTTGGTCTTACCTGTGGTCTCTTTCCTTCTGGCTTTCCCACCAATATCATATACGCATTCCTCGTCTCCCCCATTCGATCTACATGCCGTGCTAACCTCATCCTCATTGACTTGATCCTTCTACGTAATTATACTTGGAGAAGAGTACAAGTTATGAAGCTCCTCATTATGCAGTTTTCTCCAACCTCCTGTGACTTCATCTCTCTTTGGTCCAAATATTCTCCTCAACACCCTGTTCTCAAACACCCTCAGTCTATGTTTCTCCCTTAATGTCAGAGACCAAGTTTCACACCCATACAGAACCAGCCAAGAAAATCACACTCTTCTTTATTACGAACACTATACCACTGGAAACCAGCTCGTATTTTTCCTTCGAAATTTTTTTCTCATAAATAACACTGATGTGGTGGTCGTGTGGAATTACGATCTTGTGGAAGAAGCACTAATGCCACTATGGGCAGCACTGATAGCGAGGTAGCCTAGACCCCGGAAACTGTGTGTTAATATTTGTGCAAATATACGTACATGAGATAGAGACAGATACTGTAGATAGAGGTATAGGACAATGTATGTATGTACTGTATAAGGAAAGGTTAACGCTGTCCCTGTGCTTAATTAATTAAGCGTCACGACATGAACAGGAAATGGGGAGTGGAAGTAGAGCTCCACCACTCTTGACATCGATGCTAGATGGAGGTGAGTGGCTAGCTTCAAGCCACTGCCGCTTTACCCCATGAGGAAACAGTCCCCGGTAATCATTCGATAAGAGGCTTGGTAGGCCTAGCGGCCAATCTGGACGTTACTCAAGAGAGAAAAGCTTTGCCCTGCCCGAGAATCGAACCCCAGTCGTCCAGCAGAGAAGGGTCAATAACCACACTGAAATCAGCTTCTCCGTGAGAAGAACACCTCAGAATCAAATTCCCTTGACCCCTAGGTTGGAAATTGTGCGAAAAGATGGAACCCCATCGACACCAAGAATTTTAATCTCAGGAGTCTCCCGGGATTGGTCGAATGGAGAAAGTTGAAGGATTTCAATTAAGATACTCTGACCAGCGGTGAAACTCTGAGCAGGCCTTAGGGGCTTAAACTCGAGAGAACAGAAGATGATGATGTTGAAAAAGAAGTTTAAACATATCCACTCATTAGTGGATACAAGGTTCCCTTGAAACTTTTTTCTTCACATCCAGTATTCTTTCAGGCATATTTCAATGCGTTTAGTCCTTCATGCCAACTTATAGTCCATGTTATCCAATTGTGATCAACATTCAACTTAATAAATACAATTTATAATCTCCGAATACCAAAATTCGTCAAAATCCGGTAATAAAAAAATACAGATGTTTCGTGTGGGTATAACTGCAACATCTCAAAGATAATACGTGGCCCAGTGCTCAGATGATAAAGAAATTCGAGACAAATTGCAGCAGAAAATCTGCATGCCAACTAGGCATTATTGAGAAGCTGAATTCGCTCAGGTGGTCAAGAAATTCTGAGGCAACTGTGTCAATTTCTTCTCCACCTTGGCCTCACTTGTATGTCTTAAATTTATTAAACGACGTGCATATTAGCGAAACGCGCCGTATATGGGTAGAATTTTCATTAGAGTAGCGCGTTTTGTGCAATGTCAGTAACAATTAACGTCTCGGCTGTATTAAATTGAAATGACCGAGATATGAGCGAACTTAATTTGTTGGGGAGGGAGTGTATTAATAATTACCAGAGAGTTCTCTGCATGCAGGTTCGGTCCAATTTTC